TGTGTGTGTGTGTGTGTGTGTGTGGGTAGCCGGGAGATTTACTCTATATAAAAGAATCCATTATCGCGGTAACTTCCAGCGAGCGCTGTGTGGTCCGCGAGAAGTTTCGAGTTGCGTGATCGGAAGGAGAGACACAGAGAGAGAAAGGAAGAAAGAGAGAAAGAGAGAGAAAAGAGAGGAGAAGAAGGGAGAAAGCAAGAAGAAGGAGAATTCGAAAAGTCAATTAAACGTTCACAGTGTTTATTCTCGATTGGACGATAATGAGCGTGACCGGGATAAGTTATGGCTTTGGAATTAGTACAAAGAGCGGGCCGGCTCTCTCTCTCTCTCTCTCTCTCTCTCTCTCTCTCTCTCTCTCTCTCTCTCTCTCTCTCGTGAGCGAGCGTTAATCGAATTATGTGTCGGCTCGACGTGCTTTCCAGTGGTATTCTCCACAATTAACGCGTCATTTTAATAGAAATAAAAATTCTCCTTGCAATATTGTTTTGCTCCGAGATTCAGACTCAGACACAGTCGACGGGCGCTTTCGGAGTTTCAGCCTCTTAATATTATGTACACGTTAAAACGGACGTAACGACTTCAAAATGCTCGCGCGCGTCAGAATTCCTTCGCGTTTTCCATTTTATTCTCTTTTGTTTCGCGGAAGAAGATCCGAAGGCAAAGCGCTTCGTCATTTTCCGGAGGGAAAAGAAACTGTCGGGGTCTTGCTTTCATCTCGCTGTTGCTCGGTGCGATCCAGAAGAAACTTGTCGATTCGGTTTTCAACGGAAAAATCGCGAGTCTGCGATCGACGGAGAATCGAAGCGTTCGCACGCGAATTCTCGTCCTAACTACATCTCCTCACGCCCTTAAAACGCTCCCACCTCCCCTCTAATCCGTTAATCGTTGCAGACGTAATTCTACCTTATAGCTTACGGTATCACAGAGTTACACGCGGTATCGCTTAATTGCTCCCAGTTCGTAATCTCCGATACGTATAGGGATAGAAAGAAAGCGTGCAAATTATATCCTCCGCGAAAAAGCAGGACCGCCGTGGCCGCAGACGAACGTGAAGGACGTCGAATGAGGAATCTGTCGCAAACAACGACCGGAACAAATTGGTTTTTTCTTCACATACATATTCAAATATAAAAATATACGTAATATAAAAATTTACGTAACTTTTTTGTAAGAGCCATTTTTTAAACTTAGCAAAAACAGAACGATTAAAACTAATTCAGTATATTTGATACTGAATGAATCGAAGTGATATCGATTAAATTCTGAGGGGTTGTTTCACTCTTAAAATATCAAAAGGGACGCGTGTTGCGCGTGAATTTTATATTTGACATTACATTTCTAGAAGAATCAAATTTGCAACTTCTGACAAAGAGCTATTCACAATTTTGTAACAATAAATGTAAAATTTTCAGATATATAATTTATAATTTGAGTTGTAAAAAATCTAAGGAATACGTATCTTTTTCTCTCTGATAGAAGTTAGTTTTTTTATTTAAAAGAAACAGAACAACCTGTTAAAATTAATTTGATATATTTGATACCGAATGAATCGCCGAAATATTATCGATTCAGCTTCGAGCGATTGTTTCACTCCTAAAATCTTGAAACAAGCGCGTACATGATATGTTTCCTGAATTTTTGTATTTAATATTATATTTCAAGAAGAATAAGAAATTTTGATTATACTGACAAATCCCTCGAAAGTGTTAACCGCGATCCTGTAACAGTGAACTATAATAAAATTATCAGATACATAATTTATAACTTGACTTTGTCTCACCGATGGAATCGTTCATTAAGTAACAGATTTATTTTTCATAACAATAAATTGACAAATGAGAAAATGTTGTATATATCAAGACACATCGGTGGCGACCGAACATTCACTTTTCTATATTCTTCAGCGAGCACTATAATATAGAAAGATCGTTTGAATTATGATTGAAATATCTCTAGGCCAGATTGGTGAATGAAAAGCAATCAATCAACATCTACATCGATCACTCGATTAACCAATGCGGAAGAGAATTCTCCCCCTCCCTCTCTCTCTCTCTCTTTCTCATTTGTCAAGATCGTGCAGCTCTTTGAATCAGCGGATTTCAGATAAGAAGGAGGAAATATACCTCTCACGAGAGAAATCTCTCTCATGACGGAAGTATCGTTCCCTCTTCCTCGTAACACTCGACGTCCTTTGCACATACCATCCGCAAGGACACCACACATCTCTCCCTCTCGCACATTCCTCTCACTCTCCCTCCCTTTCTCTTTCCTTCTCGCTCTCCGAACGACTCGACTTACAACGGAACAATACACTATATGTATATATTAAACAGAAAGAAAAAGTTAACAAGCCCTTAACTCGTAGCGACAACGCGAAGCAACAGATACGGACACTTCGGGCGCGGGTTACAATCGGGAAATACGTTGTTACATATTCGATGACGAGTACGGCGCGAATGACGTTTTATTTAAGAAAATATCTTCATCCGACTCGCGCGGTGGCCGCGATCTAGGAAAGGCGGAAATCTCCGGAATGATAGCGAGTTCACGCGTCTTTCGCGTATAACGCAACGCGTGAGTGCGTCGCGGAGTGCCGATCTATTTGACAATACCGGATGTATGTGTTCATTGGGCTGCCCCATAGGCCTCGCCACGTATATCAGCGTTATCGTCGACAACAAGAAGAGAATGCAATGTCTCCTGATAAAACGGCAGTATTAACGTCGATAATTGAAAAACCTTCGAGACATTTTTCTCATTCGCTTGAAAGAATCGAGATCAATTAATGGTCACACAGTCGTGCTATCTCACAATAACAAACGCCAAGAATTCTCGAGAGGCATGTGTGAAGAAATTTACTTCAATCCTGACTAGAAATTTATCCAATGGTCTAATCACGTAATGAATCGCGGATTGTAATTATTGATAATAATTATTAGCAATCCTCGTTATTAATTCTAATTGATCTGGCATACTGGGCTTATTTTCAAGCCCACTCGATTTTTAATTTCGAATTACTCGCACACTAGTGGTACGAGGACTTCCAGTTCACGCGCTAAAAATGTTAAAGTTGATTGGAATATTAGAATATATATGAATTTAAACACTGTTGAACTATTTTAATTGCCTGACATATAACAAAGTTGCTATAGGGTCGTTTTTAACCCAGAATGTCAGATTAAACTGTCAAAGTATAAAATAAACATTATATTAACACACATCTCAGTTCTGTATATTAAATATAATATATAAGGAAAGCTTCATCTGTAAATAACTTATTTATTTTTTACGGATTGTATGACTGACTCTTATACGACTGATTTTGATTGAGTACACGTGAACAAGATTTCTGTACTGTCCATCTCTAATTTCAAACTAAAGAAAAAATTCAAGTACAACTAATGTTTGTAATAACTTTAAAAAGTTCATATTATAATAAATTAATACCAAAGAAACTTATCGAGAAACTATTAATTATTTTATTGATCTCTTGACTAAAACAATGTATTTTGACTAAACTTGACTAAAAAAATGTATTTTCGTATATTAAAATGATTGTACTCTTTGACAAATTAAAATATGTAACATTCTTTTTCTTAAAAATTCAAATATTCACTTAAAAATCCTAAAGTGTTAATTTCTTAAATTTATTTTCAGAATAATTACAAAATTGTTATGTAAACTCATATTTTCATCGCGTTTCTCTTTATATTTGTAACAAAATAAAATGCTTGAGTAAAGATTTGCGATTATTTCTGTGCACAATCCTATTCTAGACTTCAAAGTATATTGATTCCTTTTTAAAGATTTTTATTAGCGAAACGTAAATAAACGAGGACGAAAACGACTCCAGTGTGCCAGATTAAGATGCTCAAAACATACGTGACGTGTGAGAGTTAATCTTAACTGCCATGCTACATTACATGACTCGCTAACATCATCTTATACACACAAACCAGTATACTGATTAAAATCAACCTGATCAGGAGCATGGGATAAATTTCTAGTCGGAATTGACCGGTCAACCAGCAACTCCTTACGTCATTTTTCGCCGTCGTATTCGGCGGGCCGAAAGTCTAATTCGAAATCAAGTCTATTTCAAAACTCTCCCGAGTTTCGCGTTATGCCGACTTGTTTACCATCATCGAACAAAGTTCATTCATTCATTCGAATGTTAATGCGTGTTACTTAACGCGTCGGTTCTACGCGAAAGACGCTGTTTGTCGCGGCCGTTTGCGCTGTCCAGCCGCGATTTTCGGCGGAGATATTCCGGTGTACGGGACAAATCGGGAAAGAGGATGCAAGAAACTGACCCTCCTGTGGAGGGGACGAATAATGCACACGCGACTACGACTAAGTACGACTATAATTTGACGACGTTCGAACAGCGCACGGGGTACACACGTGAAAATAAGTCGCTCTCTTTCTTAGGCTCCTCGTTCGCTCATGATCTGACTCGACAAGTGTGAGAGTGGTACACACGTGCGCATTCAACGGCGCTCCTACAAACTACTCTACACTAACCGCTGGCGAGAACGTCGCTCTTCCGCCGCGACGCGATCCCGCGAAGGTGAGAGAGGAACCGCCGCTTCCGGTACGCGAAGAACTCGACCTTAATCCGCACAACAACGGACGAGCGTGCCATTGTTCTCGATTTGGTGCTCTACCAATAAAACAACAATACTCGCGACGTTTCTCACGCGAGCCGCTCTCTCTTTTTTTTTTCTTACTTTACGCTCCGTTCCGTGTTCCCGGCGCGCATTCAGCCGTGCCTTCGTGTTCTTTCAAACGCGTTCCTCGCCACGACATATAGTATACATAGACCAAGACACTCTCTCTCTACAGAAATAAAGTTGGCATTGGCAGTTTGAGACGAAGTGAGAAAGCTGTTTTGATCTCCTCTCTCACTCTAGCTTAGAACGCGACTCTGTCAAAAGCCGCCATATTCCTAATATATATGTAACACAGTTTTACAAGGAATATGGCGGCTCTTGACAGTTGCTTTAAGTTAGTACGAAAGAGATATAATCTCAAAAACTTTCTATCTCTGTCTCTATGAAGAAACATAGGTTATATCCATCATATACGGTGAAAAAGATTTTCTGGTCAGAAGAGAAAAAGAAGAAAAAATCTCACCCTGTCTCAGACTGCCAATGCCAACTTCACCCGCTGCTAAAGCAGAAGTATACAAATGCTTCATCTATGCATACATGTCGTTGGTTCTCCGCTTCATTGGGCCAATGAACGTATTCAAACTCAAAGTAAAGTCGTGCTTTAACGCCGAGCGCGCGGCGGGAACACGAGACTTATTCTTAAACAGTTCTACGTGACGTACTGATTAGAGGACGCTCCTCAGTCTAAGTTGCGAGAAAGTTAATTGGGTCTTATTGAATTGGAGTGTTTCGTCCAAAGGACGTCCAAAGCGCTGATAGTAGACTGTGAGACGTCTGAAGGATGCCCAAAAGATCTAAGAGTGCTCGTGAAAAGCATCTGAAGGATCTTGAACGATTGTTGGGACGTCCTTTGGACATTCTTTCATACGGATCGATACGGGGTCGCGAGTACGAGCGCGAATGCACCTACATCGTGACGTTACGAACAGCTTTCAGACGTGCGTCCACACGGAGAGAGAAAGAATAAGAATAAAGAATTTCAGTAAAACTGACGTTAGAATTATATTTCACTTTACTATGTTTCTTGTAAAGTTTTGGACTACACTGAGAAGCTGTAGTAAAAGAAATACCATAGAAATGGTAAATTTGACGCGATCTACCCAATGTACGATTAAAAAAAACATTTAAGTAATCACAATAGCAATTTTAATAAAAAGTTCACAACGTGCACAATATCTTTCAACTAATATTTAGTAATTTTGGCCATAAATTCTGCATGGTCCAAGATTATAGAATACTATTTAAGATTAAAGATACTATTGTGATTTTTGCTATATTTGCAATATTTCCTCCGCGTACACGACGCGTCGTTTCGTTCAAGTTGGCTTCATATGCGAATAGATTCATGAGATGTTCACAACGTCGCGACAACGGCGATTATACCGCCCTCGCGAAAAAACCCAGCCGGAAACACCCTCGCGCGCCCGCTGAATGTCTTCCTTTCTTTCTTCGATCTCGCTTCGATCATGCCACATTCGAAATAGAACGACATAGAGCACACGTACGGTTGGGCACGTGCGCGACGAAGGAACTTAGCTTTTAGGTCTGATTGAGAACTGCCCGGCGACATTCAACGCGCGAAACGCGTGCGAATTGACGCGATCTCGACACGCGGTTATGCTTGCTTATGTACCTCGTTTCCTCCGCTGTCGTTGCCTCGTTGCCAACACCTGCCCCTTTAACCTCTGGCGACCCCGAAACGAGACTCCCTCCGTGGCGAGAGAGGGATGCTTCGTTCATCGATCGGCCGGTTGCGTTGACGGTTGATCCAGCAGTCCAGCCGTTTCTTCCTCCTTTCTTCTTCTCTATTTCTCCCATCTCTCCCTCTACCTCTTTCTCTCTCTTTCCTTCTTTCTCTCTTCTTCGCCATCTTAAACAGATTCTCAGGATTACTCGGGAAAACTTTCAACGTGAAGTTTAGTCATCGGCCCGATGACGAAGGAAGCCGCGAGCTGGATATTTCTACACAGTACACGATCTCGTAGGCGAGGGAAAAGACGGCGACGATGGTGGATCAGAGAAAACTTAGAAGACGCCATTGCAACCTACTAATAGGACGCTATCCGATGGAAATTCCTCCCGGTTGCGGTCAACGTGTTCCGAACGGATTGTCACGATGACTGCTCGCTAGAAGGAAGCCCGATAAGCTTCTAGCAACGACCAGATCTTTGCGCGTCGCTATCCATCGACCCGTCAAATCCTTGACAACTGACGTTCTCCCAAGATTTTCCCGATCCCGATAGTAGAAATCCGCGAAGGTTTGACAGTGTCTCCTCAAATTTTCCTCATACTTTAACCGACCACGTGTATTATTGATGCTCATGCCAAAAGTGGATGTCCATTCGACGATGGTTTCGATATGTGAGAGTTCCTCTATCGTCTCTTGATGTCCCGGAGTATCCCCATGAAACAATCCGCGAGGATTGCCCTCGGCGCAACCGATAGCCTTGTTGTACATCGAGGTTATTCTTTGCGCGACTGGATGCTGGATTTGAAGAACGTTGTAATCCACCACCCGGGGGAACGTCCCAAGCACCGCGTCTCTTCGTTCATCACAAGCGACCGTCGAGAAACTTATCTCCGATCTCTTGGTCGAGGTGTCTCTCGACCTATGAGGACCCTTGACACGATCGACTGTCGACATTCGGCTGACTGTACGATGATGCCCCACCTCCATCTCGCTCGCCAGACTAACAAACTCGTAAGTATGTTCTCGAGTATCCTTCCTCTTCTGGAGCGACGGCCGAAAGCTGATCTTTTTTCTTCCACTTATTCTTCTTCCTGCCTCCTCCCTCTGACTCGATCTTGTTCTTCCTTGTTCTCTCATACGCACATACATGCATTCTACCTTTCGCTTTGAACCTCCGCCTGACATTCACACGCGTATTCTCTCTTGGCTTCGCTTTCGCCATCGCTCGTCTCTTCATCTACTTCCTTTCTCTTCTTTGCCCCTTTCTTGCTCTTCTCTACCAAGCTGGAGACGGATCCGGACACGAGCGTGCCGCCACGTTGGTGCTCGACTCGGATGTGGTAGCGGGTGCCGAGGTGCGTCGGATCTCGATCGGTTTCGAGCCGGACACGGGCGGCCGGCCCAAAACCCCTTGACTGTTTCACGATAGGTTTCGCTGGTCCTCCGCGCAGTCCTCCGCCTTCTTCAACGAGCGCTTCAGCTTGTCGACCAGCCGGTTGTGAAACTTGTTGAGGGAGTTTGAGCTGCCGGTCTTGGGCGGCGACGTGCCCGTGCTCTTGCTCGGGCTCTGAAGAGAGCTCTGGGACGCTCTCGAAGAGGTCCTCGAGAAGTGCCGCGAGGTCAGCGGTACAGAACGGTGCGCCGGCGAGGTCAAAAAGTCGGAGCCGGGCGACGTCGACAACGACGGACCCTCCGATTTGGAGCACTCGGACACCTGTGAACAGAAAAAGGCAAATTTCGAGTTTAGACAGGGGAAAAATTCCCCAAGAGTTGGAGGTTTCTAGCGAGAACATGATCACGACTGATTAATTTTCAACATTTATGAATGACAATCTTACAAGTTGGCTTATCATATTTAGAATGTTTATAACTGTCGAGGATGTACTGAGAGATTATTCACAGGAATATATACACGGAGAAAGTACTGTAGTAAAAATTACATCAAAATTATGTTTTATTTTACAATGTTTCTTGTAAAGTTAGACTATTAACATTGCAATATAAATGACTATATTAACCCAAAAATGTTTTTCTAACTTGGAATTACCTGCAAACTAGTAAAATAAAGACTTTTGGTTCATGTACTAAAAAAGTAGTTATAATTGATAAGAATGAAGTTTAAATATACAATTGAACTATTTCAATTGTCTGCCATACAACAAAAAACAAAGTTACTATAAGATCATTTTTTATCCCAATAGATCAAAGTTTCAGATGGAAACATTGTTAAAATTAAAATTCTTTCCTCAATATTGTCGAATAATAAAATAACTATGCCAAGTGGATCGAGTCCTGATTATCTAATAAGTGCAAAATAAAAATATAAAATAAAGATGATTTTTCGTTATATTTTGATTCTTTACATTAAATATGTTATATAAGAACAGTTTTATGTGTATAAGTAGCTTATTTATTTTATATTATACATGAAAGTTTCTGCACCATTAAATTCTAATCACGAACAAAAGAAATTCAGCTATAACTAATCTTTGTAATCATCTTAATAAAATACGGATTCCAGACAACACGCATGTCTTGAAGACTTCTTAAAGATGTTGTTAAAACGTTACCAAAGGTGTCTTATAGATGTCTTAAAAACTTTATAAAAAGTTATTTTAAATCCGTCTATTGTAAGACATTTTTAAGATATTGTGTAACTGTTTATATTATCAATTATGACATTTATTTACAAATTTACAAATTGCTATAGCAAATACCATAATCTTTTAGTCTGTGAGCATCGTATACGAGAAACACATCAGTACGGGAAAAAAATCTAACAGAACTTATTAAATCGTAAATTTGTATGATTTATTAGTGTCCTGTAGAATTATTTTGCCAAATAAAATATCTTTTCTTGCATACTTGCATAATTTTCTTTAGAATTATGATTGAATAGTAGATTTATCATCCGTTTGCTCCGTTTGCCCAGAGTTAGGATTAAAGATCGATGACAGTAAGCGGATAACAGTAATATCCGGCATAAACTTTAAAGTTTAAAGCATTCGATGACGGATATCACCGTTATCCTCTAGCTGTCATCGACCTCTAGTCCTAATCCAAAGCAAATGGAGCAAACGAATGAAATCCCAGTTTAATTATAATTTTCGATCAAGCAATATTAAATAAAATCCAATGCATAATTCTAAAAAATCTGTAATTAATTTTCTATATATAAATATCATATCTAAAAGTCTTAAAGAAGTTTTAAATAGAACGTCTTTAAGACATCTTCGAGACATAAGATGTCTTAAAGACATTACATCTTAAAGACAAACAATTACAATTGTGTAGTAAAAAGATGAAAGTGTACAACATTTTTAAATATATAACAAGGAATTGTTATATATTTAAAAATGTCGATCATGACTTTCCAGTTATGATCGACATTTTTGTTGGCACTTTTTACTACTATATTTTCTCCGTGTGCTTCGATTAATCAATACATCGACTGACCAACTTACGCGCTGTCGCTTGCTAAGCTATGTTATTTATTAAATTTGCAATTTGCCAACGGCGAATCGCGACTCGCCGTCATGGTCACCGTCATTGCCCTACGCGACTGTGAACGCAATAATCCAACTCCTTTCGAAACCGGCGGCTTTCATCGCCATTGAATTCTACTCAATATTCATTTCGCGCGCAGAAATCACGGCGTAGTGCAGTGATCGTCGCGATAACGAGTGCTTACGAAGTCGCACGTTTTTCGTTCGTAGCCCGCGATGCACGAACGGTGAAAGCTACGGCGATCCTGACGCGAACTACGTTCGCGAGACTACTTTAATGCGCGAGTAACAGGGCAGAAACGAAATCCTCTTAATCGGCCGGCATCCTTCGTGTTCACTCCTTCCTTTTCCTCTCTCCTCTCGCGATCTCAAGATAGCGCGGCTTTCCAATAGTAATGCCACGCTATGCGCGGCGATATCTGTCGATCGAGATCCATCCGCTTGAGATTACGTTCCGTTATCGATGTGCCTATTTTTCAAAGCCGGAACTCATCGGAAAATGGCTAATCTCTCCAACAGTTGTGTTAATTGACGATGAATCAGTCGAGAGAGAATCTCCGATATCAATCGGCAACGACGAATGCGCAATTAAATCACGAGGCAATTCACAGACTGCTCATGTCTCCGCGGAACTCCCTCGGCAAATCTGATACGCCTAACATCTGATTAACTGTTCGACGAATTTGTTTGCTCAAAAGTTTCTAGAACGAATTAACCGATCGGTCGCAAGCGATTCAGCTTGAAATACAATGAAAGTCGTACGCATAAAGACGTAGCTTTTCTACGCAGCGACGCGACGTGCGTGCGAACACGTGCCTGTGTTGTCATCCCGGTATGAACCGGCAAATGGCCGATTAGACTAGATACGTTTTCATGTGTAGCTAATCTCAATGGTCGCACACGAATTTTGACGATAAAACACCGATAAAGCCGTATAGTAACTCTCATATCTTCTCAAATATGCGGGAAACTTATCAATTCGTTTGAAGCTATATTTTTCTTAACTCTAATCTAGCATACTGAAATCATTCTCAATGTTACCCGATTTTTGTATTTTGTATTGCTCGCAAACTAGTGGAATGAGAATTTTTTGTTTATCCACTAAAAGTTACAGTTGGTGAGAATATGAGGTTTAAACACTGTTTAAATCTCAATTACCTGTCATATAACAAAAAGACAAAGTTACTAAATGAGATCGTTTTTATCCTAATGTAAGACAGATCAAGACATTAAAGTACAAAATAAAGACAGATCAAGACATTAAAGTACAAAATAAAAATATAAAATTATAAAAATATAAAAATATAAAAGATAATTTTTTTTTTTAATAAAGATAATTGTTTTTATATATCTTCACGTTAATATATAATATATAAGAAAAGTTTTATGTAAGTAGCTTATTTACTTTTGACTGTATTATATATGACGAAGGTTTCTGTATCATTAAACTTTGGTTGGAACGAACTAAAAAAAATTCAGATATAGCTAATCTCTGTAATAATTTTAATAATGTATACATTATAATAGGTTAATAAAATAAAAACTTGAAATTATTAATGATTTTATTCGCTTCTTGGTTGGAAAAATTATGCATTTTCGTATACTCAAATTATTATACTTTTTGAAAGATTGTAATATGATTGATCAAATAATTAATACTTTTTGATATGTGATATTTTTTTTAAGGATTAAAATATTACCAAGAAAATCCCAGGATGTTAATTTCTCAAATTAATTTTACAAATTTTTATATAAAATCATATTTTCATATTTGTAATAAAACAAAATACTTAAGTGAATATTTGCTATTATTCTTATACATAAGTATATTGATTTTAAAATATATTTGTTATTTTTTTACAGATTTTTATTAACTATTTTACGGCATGTAAATAAGTTAGGACAAAAACGATGCCAGTATGCCAAATAATATGAAAAATTTTAGTTGAGTCACGGCTATTTTATTAAATTTCCCAACGATATTATGACTAATGCTTTCTCGTTATTAAAGTTATATAGATATAATAGTGTTTCAATCACATACTAATAATAGTTTCGTCATGTAAGTCGTGTTACTAATGTTTCAATCATCTGATGCTTTCGTCATTTAGAAGAGAATTACGATTTTATAATAAAAAATCGCGATGTCAGATACATAAAATTTTAACAAGTATGATCATTTGTATCCGAACGTTAATCACGTCAGACTGACTCGTCTCTGTTCTTGGTTTTAATCTTAACGTAATTCACACATCGTTTTTATCGATTCTCGTCGTCATATTGCGCGCGATTGCATAACCCAACATGTGTCACAAGCGAGACACGGTGCGTCGATATATGCACAAGTTTGTCGTCTCTACAAATGTTTCTCGTTTAATCTCTCCGTAATCTTCAGTAGAGGGACACTCGTATATTTATAAGACGCGCCTTATCGAGGCGTCACTAGAGATAATAATAGAAGTATTGGAAGTACGAGCATCCATTCGCGATCGATTGCAAGTCGAGTCATCGTTGTGCAGGGCAGCGCAAATGTTTAGAAATATATTTGCCGCAGCCTGTTTCAGAATCCATTGCCAGACATCGTCATCGAAATGTCGTAATTACTCTGCGCGTAATCCAAGGTTACGAAAAAAAAGTACAAACAAACAAATAACAACGAGAAGTGCTTTACACGAATCTTATCGCTGTATTTATATTTTAACTGCAACTCAATGATGACCAACGATAAAAAAAAAAGCATCATGAACGCGTGTGCGAATTGAGCGTCGATAAGACTGCGTCGTGATAGCGCGAATAAAAAAAAAAATGCGCAATACGCGAACTGGCAATACGTTATATAATTGGCAATGATTTCTCGTGAGATTGCACTAACGTCCTGGCAATGACGGTCGCCGACTGCGTACTTGCCACTTTCCGAGTCACGTGCTCGAGAGTTGGCTCTAAATATTGACATACAAGGACAAAGAGTTGCCGGTTAAAAATATACCGTGCAACGTTTCTTTTTTTTTTTTACGATAATACATTAACAAAACGTGATTTGATTCCGGAGGATATATGCGAAGCGGAAATCAATTCCGCCGCACATTGCCATAACGAGTACGAGAGACCGGGGCTAGATGCCTCATATTTCAGAATTCCGAAATAACAACTTTGTAGACAACTAACTGTTGTGACTGACTCTACAAATATGGTGATCTTCTTCTATGCG